CATACAAAAAGTAGCCTACCGATCACCCTAGCCACAAAGTACTGGGAACAGGGCCCTAAACAAACCCTAAAACCTAAACCCTAAACCCGAAGCCCTGAGACCCAAACCCTAAACCCTAAACCCCTAAACCCTAAACCCCTAAACCCTAAACCCTAAACCCTAAAACCTAAACCCCTAAACCCTAAACCCTAAACCCTAAAGCCTAAAACCTAAACCTACACCCCTAAACCCTAAACTCTAAACCCCTAAACCCTAAAACCTAAACCCCTATAACCCCCAAACCCTAAACCCTAAACCGCCTCTGTGGCCAGGGGAAGCCCTCGGGCGGCTTGCGGTGGATGTGAGACACGCCGTTCCTCAGCGACCACGCAGCGGCGCAGCGATAGCGCAAAGAAGTCGGTTTAGGACATAGGTTTAGGGTTTAGGGGTTTAGGTTTTATATAGGGCTTAGGGTTTAGTCGGTTTAGGATTTAAGGCTTTACGTAGGGTTAAAGGAGGTTAAGGCTGACATAGGGCTTTAGGATTGAAGCGTTCACCTGGGGTTTAAGGACTTAACGCTCCACATAGGGTTTAGTCATTTACGGCTTGCGGGCTTACGGTATAAGAACGGACCCTTCGTTCGACAGGTTGAAGAGGTTGGAGGCTAGAGTTGCGGTTGAGGGTTTCGGGTTGGAGTTTTGGAAGTTTACGATTGTAGGCCTAGGTCAGGAGTGGAAGGCCTAGCTGAGAAAGACATCAATCGTGATCGTGCTAACAGCAGTTCAGGCATGCTAATGTCATGAAGCTGTGTGCTGCTGGATGTGTATTGATTAGGAAGGTCAATCAATGTAGCACTTTTTAGGGTCATTGTGCTTCCGGATTTGGGGGACTGCTACTGCAAAGGTGATTGAATTCCTGTGTGTTTATTCGCACGAAGAGGGAGCGCTGGCACACACTTCAGTTTGGATAAGCTTCTGGGTGTGGGCTTTGCCTGTTGCTCCTTGGTTGAAACGAATCTACCACTTCACTTACTGGTTTCATTTTCTCGATCCAGAAAACACACAACCGATGCAGCACGATCTTTGGACTCAAATCTCGGGGCTCCAAAGGATAACGAGCGCTAATCTCAGCAAAGTGACCGTTCTGCATTTCGCACACTTGTGAATTCACTTGATGCACAGTTGCGTCTTTGATGACTTGTAGCAGTAGCAGCAGTAGGAGGATGGGGGAGGAGGAGGAGGTTAGTAGTTGGAGGAGGCGGAGCAGGAGGAGGAGGAGGAGGAGGAGGAGGAGCAGGAGTCGTGGTAGGTGTTCCGCAGTAGCAACCTTGCCGTCGTGGTCCCGAACTGGGCACTTGGAAGTTAAAGGGACAATAGGCTCACGCCTTTGGCAGCTAAGCTGCTGTAGCCGCCCATTGTAGAATGCCGCCTGGGAAGCTGGGACTTGGGCTTCAGGGGCTTGGGATGATCGCTAAAAAGTGCTGCAACTGGGTTTTAGGGTTTAGGGTTCCCTAAATGTCCATGTGCCCAAGATGTATATACTCCGGCCCTCAAGTACCGAAACAGGGACCACTTTGAGGTCAAAGTATACATTATTTGGGTACACGGACCCTTAGGGGTGTAGGGCACCGCAGTCGCTGGGGGCGTGCGGTATGTAGAGCCGTCAGCTTCGAAGCTTAGAGGGTTGCACTGCTTGAGACGCGCTGCAGCTACATCGAGCTGTAGACGGCTTATGAGCATGCGCAACGGAATGGGTACATGCACGATTCAAGGTAATGTAAGAGCCTTAATGATTAGAATGGGGTTCTGGGCTCCTTTATGGTATAATTATAATAAGGAACCTAAGGCATAAGCTCGGCAATTATTTTTAGGCTTCTATAGGTTCTAGAGTACAGCTTTTTGAGTCGGGTTAAGTTTCTTGCGTGGTCTCTTTACATCCGATATTACAGACGAGTGGGTTACCTAAGATTCGAGAATCTGCTTCGGCTGGGAAAAAACACATGCCGCAAAGCATGAGGGCCCATGTACCCAAATAGTATATACTTTGGCCTTAAAGTAGTCCCCATATAGGTACTTTTGGGCCAAAGTATATACTGTTTGGGTACATGGGCCCTCATATTGAGGCCCGCCAAGAAGGGAAAACCCTAGTTTGAACAACAATGCCCATCTCCCAAACAAGCAACACGTAAACACACCACATCCACCCAGACCCTCCAATATCCCTCAATTAAGCAATATATCTTAAATTTTAGTAGTATTTAGTAGTATCCTTAATATGATTTCAAGTATATTCCTTAATTCAGGGACATTGGAAGGTCTGGGCATCTCGCCATGAATTTCAACGAGGGTGTTGGGGTTGCGGAGGGTTGGGATTCGGAATTGCCTGGAGGCTCATACCCTGCCCGTTTCTTAGGTTACCTCCTTTTCTATACGACAGATCCTAACTAAAGAACTATATACCCTACATACCTACTGTTCTACATAACAGATTCTAACTAAAGACCGAAGTAGCCCGTAAACGGGGTGGGGTATGAGTCTCGAGGTGGGGGTTTTATAAGTGGCCTAGGGTTCGGCGCGTGCGGTTCAGGGACGAAGCAATTATGGTTTAGAATTTAGGATGTTTAGGGTTTAGGGCTTAGGATGGCTTAGGGCTTGCGGCTTAGGATGGTTTAGGGTTTAGGGTATTTGGAGCTCTCGCTCAGAGCACCTAGCCCGAAGCACCCTTGTGTAATCTTGATGTTGCTATCGCCTCAGCATTACACTTAAGCCATGACTTGCGAGTGGCTCAATAAGTAGAGATCTTCAAAGCGAATATTTCGAATCACACCCCAAATCCGAAACTCCAACACCCCACACCCCTAACCTCTAAACGCTCAACCTGCAATCAGAAGAAAGCTAACCCCTAAACCCCTGACCCTCAACCCTCAATCCTAAACCCCTAAACCTCTAATCCCCAAACCCTCAACCCTAAACCCTAAACCCCCAAACCCTAAGCCCTCAACCCCAAACCCTCAACCCTGAACCTGCTTTCGAACAAGCTGCTGAGGCAAATTCTGCCACCAGCGGGTGCATGCGGTACTGGGTGTCCAAAAGGCAGGGCCTGACAAAACCATTTCCACTCAAGAACAAGAGCTTAGGGTTTATAGTTAGGGTTTCGGTCATTAGGGTTTATTAGGGTTTCATGTTTAGGGTGTAGGGTTAAATTTTTAGAGTTCAGGGTTTAGGGAACTTAGGGTAAGGGTTTCAGATTTAGCGAATTTAGGGGTTATCATGAAATGCTCATCATCACATCCTTCGCCAGCGTATTCATGGTGGTCATCATCATTGCCATCACCGTCATAAAAAAAAGCTCATCCTAAACCCTCAAACCCTCACCTATCCACTGTTTGAGATACCTTACCGGGGATCTTATGTTGGTTTATTAAAGAGTGAAGGAATATTCGGCTGCGAAGTTTTGTAATTTTGGCTCTCTCGGACATGAAGAAGTTTCAGAAAATTGTCACTGTGTGTTAGTCATATCCCGCAGCTCCACCGTAATCATATAAAAACTCTGAACCATCCCTGAATCCCTAAGCCCTGAAGCAAACTTTTTACAACCCGTATCTAAGAAGCTTACAGTGGAAACCGTATAGGAAACTTGTCTCGAGTCCTGCTCCAATAACATCATTTATCATCATTTGTTGCTTGTTATTAGTCATTGCAACCCTGAGCCCTGAACCCTTACAAGTAATGCTGACGAACTGTCGTTGTTAAGAGGGTCCTTATGCCAACTGAGACCCCGGCCGAACGCCCTGCGTCACCAACCGCGTAAACATCGACTCGCCGAGATTTTCGGTCTCGGCGACATCAGACAAGACCTGGCACTCGGGACTTCCGCTTAGGCTTAGGTTTTCGGGTTTAGGGTTGAGGGTTTCGGGCTTATAGAGTTTAGGGTTTGGTCTTGGATCCACCGGCCGGGTTTCGGGTGTAGCTTTTGAAGGCTTGGGAGCTTGGGGCTTAGTGTAACTGCACTTATCCTCATGCCCCCGGCGGCAAAAAGTGCAGGTCATCTAGGCTCTGGTCATCATTCTCCCATGTTCCCACTTGCTGACACAAACCTTTCTGTCGGTAGACCTAGGCCCCCCACCACCACAACCCTGAACCACAACCCACAACGCCGAAAAACAAAGCCAAGGGCGCTGTCGGAGGCAGCTGGCACTGGTCACCGATCAGGATTGCTTGCTGGCAACCTCTGGCGATCGGCACCTCAACAATCAACTTGCGGTCATTGCAATATAGGGCCTCAATAATATAGTATCAATATAGATACATTAAGGGACCCGAAGGAACGGTGTTGGTGGTTCTTCGCAGGACCCTAAACCCTATTTTAAGGATTTCAGCTTTGTGGGCTTGGGGCTTGGCTGTACCCAGAGAGCCCAGTATCATCAGTAGGGGTTGCCGCTCAAATCACGGCAACAAGCCCTATGCTTTGGGGGTTTAGGGTGGGTTTAGGGTCAATAGTTAACCGTTCATAAAAATGACTACCGCAACACGCCATTTTGAGGCCAGATGAATCATTGCATGATTCAGGTTGTTACTGCAAGCGAAAATCCGCAAGTGCATCCTCAGGAAGCACTCAGGAGAGCATTGAACATCGCAAGTTGCGATGACACAGGTTTGAGCTCGCACTCACCCCCCAGGGCTGGTGGTGGGGCAGTGGCGGTACACTGAAAAGACTTCGAGAAGAAGACGGCCACGCATTTGGCTGTAGCTCGTCAAAGCTCAATCAAGTAGGCACACTGACTACCGCAACACGCCATTTTGAGGCCAGATGAATCATTGCATGATTCAGGTTGTTACTGCAAGCGAAAATCCGCAAGTGCATCCTCAGGAAGCACTCAGGAGAGCATTGAACATCGCAAGTTGCGATGACACAGGTTTGAGCTCGCACTCACCCCTTAATCACGCAGTGACCTGGCACGTGCTGAAGGTGCCGCTGTCCGCAAGACTTCCCATCACATCAAGTCACAGGGAAATCGGCACGGCCTTGCCGCTGAAGACTTTGGGTAGCAGGGCCGCTGAACGCTTGCAGAAACTCAGCTGATCCGGGCCCAACTTGCTCAAGAGCTGCTGGATTTTTCCAATCTTGGTGTAGCGACGGACGCTTTGATCGGTTTTCCAGCGCCCTCTGGATTTCACAGCGTTGTGATCACGAAATCTGCTGTTTAGATCCTCTGCGGCTCCCCCATGCCTGAGTTGGTAAGGATGAACGACTCCCAGTCCCAGCTTCGAAGCCGCGTCCCCGAAACTTTTTCGGAACTCCTCCATACTGAAGTCGTACAGGAAGTCGGTCTTTTTCTTCATGGACGATGCCCGTTGGTGGAGATGCGGCCCTATCCAAGATGTTTCCGGGTTGTCGAGGGGAAGGCTGTTGTCGTAGACCCCGATCTTGTCGGGTCGTCCGTCCTCCAGATCTCTGATGACAATTGAGTACGTCTGGTACACCGGCTCCTTTCACAGGTGGAATCACGTTGTGCGCTCGCAACTCCATGCCCTCGCCTGGCCTCAAGTACATGTCGCAATCGGCGACAACCTTGAGTGCCATCAGGCGCCGACCTCTGTAATACAACAACATGGCTATCCCGTACATGGCCAACTTTGGGAGCGGTAGTCTGCTTCCTGGCGGGACTTCCTTTCGCCAGCCTTTGAGCGCGCGACGGCTCCTGGGAGCTTTGTTCTTGGCCCCAATGTGCAGGAATTCCAGAGCTGCTACTGCTTTTTCGCCCTCGCTTGCGGACTTCCCCTGCAGAAACAGCGTATCGAGGTAATCCGCGAGGAGGGCATCGACGTCCACGAGCTGAGGAGGCCATGAGCCCCCATTCTCCTTGCAGAAGGCCTTGAACTTCTCGTAGTGCTGTGTGTACTGACCCTCGATCTCTCCACTCACACTTCTCCGCTCCAAGATGGTCAGACCTCCTTCTTGCGCTAACTTCCCCGCACCCTTCTCGTCCTTGATCGGGATACGGTTGACCTGTCGCCTCGTCTTTTTGAGACGTGGAGTAGTCGAAGCACTCGGGCTCAACTGCCTCGCCCTCTTCACGCCACGCTCCCCCGGAAGGAGTGTCTTCACTGCCCTCTCGCTGCCGGGAGGTGGATCTGGTTTTCTCTGACGTTGAAAAGGGCTTTTCAGAACTGCCTCCGAAAGGACCCGGACGGATTTGGCCCCTGGACGGGCCATCAGCAACGTTCAGCTCTGAGGGCACCCATCGCGCTCTGACTGTGATGCCGCTGGCTAAACAAAGCGCCCCTATTTGCTGAAGAACACGGAGGACAGAAAAGTTTTGCGCCCTACCTTTAGTCACTGAGAAAGCCAACGCCAAACTGTCGACAATGACCAAGTGCCTTTTACTCCGGTTCCTCGTCGTCCTGCTGAGCCGCCGAACGGCAATACACAGGGCTCGAGCTTCTTTCAAAGTGATGTGCTCAGAGGTGTCGCCCCAGCGCCCCATCTTGACCGTACGCCAGCATGTAGCATGCATCAGTTTTGCAGGCACTTCAGGGAATCCATCGTTTGGGACATAGCAATCAAGAGGATCCGGAGGGCCAAGGCTTCCAGCGGTAGCTAAGTCCTCGAACGGGTCTAGGCCTAGAGCTCTCACTCGTGGCTTCCAGCATTCCGGTGGCAGACGTTTGAATCGCCACCTTTCCTGCCATCTCCCGATGTCCTCAACGGCCTCAGGCTCAAGCTGCCGCTCACAAATGCCAAAGCCCTGAGGAGATGCATCGGTGCACGTAACAGTGGGCGACCAATCCCTCCTCATGTCTCCGACTAATAGTGGAACGATCCCAGCAAAGACAAGGCACTCACGCTGCTCAGAGGGGCTGAGCCTGCGAGGGCCGCATCCGCTCTCGACGAAATCATAAAGATGACGAAAGATGGACATGCCACTCCTATTCAAGACGCATATAGTCATGGCATGACCCAACAGTCGTTGTATGAGACTTGTAGAAACTATTGCGTGGGCCGCGTACTCGAATGCAAAGATCATCATCCACGCGCGCCTCGAAGTTGGTTTGATCTCACCGTTCTTCCCATCGATGATGCCTCCCAGCGATGGGAAAAATGAAGTGGCGGAGACCTCTTCATGCAGCTCGAAACCCAAGCCTTCAAGTCCTTTGCAAACCTCTTCTCTCGCTGCTTCGCACGAATGAGAGTCCGTTGAAAGACAATGTATGTTGTCGCAATAAGGCATGTTCAAGACCCCATGAGAAGCCAACCTTGGCGCCGGCCTCCCATCCAGGACGATGCTGTCGCGACCTATGCCCAACGTCTTGCACACAGACTGTTCGTGGAGGCACTGCACCAAAAAGAAGCTCCAGTTGAAACCCATAGGCAGAACGGAAATACAAGGACTCCACATCCTACCCACACCCTGAGAGGTGTCAAATTGGCCTCCGGAGATCATTGCCACCTCCTCAAACGAGATGTCGGTCGCGAGGCAGAAGTAATCCTGCATGCCGGTTGGGAAGTTACAGGCATAGAAACAATCCTTGATATCCGCCCCGCCCACATACAATGTCTGATCATCACGGAGATGAAGCTCTGCAAGCGCACTGAGAGATCCAAGCTCCGTGAGAGGAGGTGGCTTAAATAGAAGGTTTACTTGACGGCAGTCCAACACCAGACGCTGGCGCTCAACAACTTGACCATCAATGACCTTGGGCTTCTTAGATACACAAAAAGCACCAACTCGCCCTTTGCAATGTTGAGTAAAGGTAAGAGTGCCACACTTGAACAACAATCCCAGGAATGAGATATATTCCCGATGCCGTCGAAGCACAGGGTCATTGTATGGCTTGACACTCCCTGCACTCTCACACATGTCCCCCATGTCCGTGGCGTCCTGAAGGAGGTAATCCTCGAAGTTCATGACCATCTTTCGTGTGTGCCCCTCAAGGGCTGAAGCCAAATCAACTCCCGCCACCTTCCCTGAGGGAAGGGATAAGCGATCTAAAACCATAGGAACAACTTCTCCCGTGCCAGGCTCCGGCTCAACATAAGAGGAGCTGGCCGCCCGGAGCGCACAAATGGCTCCTGGGCCGCTTGCATCTGGGGGAGGCGGCCCCAGACGTTTGACCTGCTGGATCACCAACTCTCTCGCGGAAGCCTGCGCCTCGTTGCCGCAGACCCCAGCAGAGCCCGTGCTACGGGCCCGCCCGAGGCCTCCCCCAAAGAAAAGTGAATTCAGAGCAGATATGGCCTTGTTGATCCGCTCATCCTCGGCGATGCGCCGTTGAACACGTCTCAAAACTGATCGGCACATGGACTTGCAGGGAGGAGCCTCGCACTGTAGAAGAGGCAAAGGAAAAACGTCACGTCTTCTTCCATCTCCACCCGCAGGCTCATGAAAAACCTTTGTTCTCATGGTGACCCGAAAAGACAACCCACAACCAGTGGTCACCACCTAGATTGTGGGAGCGTAGAGCGGCTACTTGTCGGATGCCCCATCGCCGCGGCCTCGGCCACGACCCTTGGGGCCATCACCCTTAGCTTGCTTCTTTGCTTCTTCAAGCTTCCGGCGCTCTTTGAGGAACTGGCTGTCCGCTTGGAGCTTTCGCGACACATGCTCCGTGAGCTTCGGCACCACAACGGCTCCGCCAGGGCGGTGCAGAGTTCCCAACCAATAGTCGGCACCTTCATAAGAAGGCGCCGAAGGATTATGCGAGTGAGCCTCTGCAATAAGTTGGCGGCGTCTCACCAGCAGTTCGAAGCATGCGAGATTGCACACATTGAGGCTGTCGTATGAGATCGCGATGTCCATGATTCGAGCCAATGTCTCGTCTTCATAGATAGCCCGACTTCCTTCTGGTATGCGCGATTGTTGCGCCCATGCCAGGTGCTGTCCGTAACACGACTCCGCTATCGTGGCAGTCACCTTGAGGTACTCCAGCA